ACACACAGGAGTCACCCGCGGGCCACATTTGGCCCACAGGCCTTGAGTTTGACATATGTGCTTTAAATGGTTTCTAGACATTTTCTCTGAATTTTGTAAATTGTGTCTTCATCAGCATCTTTTGTATAAAAAATATTTTGTTTCAAATCATGTAATCATATTTAAAAACAGTGTGAAAGATGAGGGCTGAAGGAGCTAAAACTGAGCTTTTAAAGCTAAAAGAAGACAAATACTAGCTAAAACCTCTGTGGCCTTAAGGAACAGGACTATCTAAAGCAGAATACTAGCTAAATGCAGAAGATTAACTAAAATGGAGACACTAGCTAAAAAAGAGCATTAGCTAGAGTACTAGCTAAAGGGAAAAGACTAGCTAAAATGATGGCACTAGGTAAGAGCTTAGGAAGACTAGCTAAAAGCAGAACACTAACTAGTAGCTAGTACAATGACCCTTCCTTCCTTCCATCCATCCATCATTCCATCCATCCATCCATCCATCCATCCATCCATCCATCCATCCATCCATCCATCCATCCATCCATCCAGCTTCTTCCTTTTCGGGTCACTGGGGGTCACAGATGCTCATGTCCAGCAGTTGTTTGAGGGGGCGGGGCAAAAAAACACCATGTTTTGAACAAATAAAAAACAGCCTGTAGCCCTTAAAYTCAGGTAAATGTGAAGAATAATCAGTAAATATTCACACCGCTGCAGCTCTGCTACATTTATCCTTTCCAACATAATGAAAACAAATGACTGTTTCTCACACTAATGCAGGAGAAGCACAGACTAATTGCTGAAAATGTTTAAAATATTGAATTTTCTTTCCACCTCGAGGGCCAGGCTGGACGGCTGTGAGTCGTGCTGCTGCAGAAACACCAGAGCCGATTTCTGTTAGGTTTCCACTTTATCTCATCAAATACATTTTTTAGATACATGTGGGTTTTCTGTTTCCTCCAACAGCAAAATGGACTGATTTATGCTGCACAGAAATCATACCTGAACAGGTGTTTTGGTTTAACATGGACATTTAACCGTGCTTTGCTGAAAATAAAATAGACAATAAAAGATGAGCTGTTCCGGACAAACACTGGAGCCCCCCCCCCCCTGTTTACTGCAGCCTCATCAAGACACAGCAGTGTGTCACTGTGGATCAAAGTCAGAGCGATCAGAGCTGCTCCCAAATCCACCGCCGAGAGGAGCGAGAGACGATCTGAGGCAAAGACAGAACTCCAGTGTTGCTAAATAAACAAGATCAAACATAATTATTGATTTATTTATACAATAAATAATGGGCCGTTCCATAGTTACAAATGCACAAAGCAGCACAGGTCCGTCGATACAAACCATGCTTTGAAAACCATTAGAAGTCAACAGTTTCTCTCGGTAAATTCACACTGTTACACAGACCTGATGTCTGGTTTAAACTGATTCCTGGTCAACTTTCCTTTAGGGTCGTAAATGAGATTTTTCATAATTACAGTGAAGCCCTGAAAAGTCGTGTTTCACAGTTTACGGACTCAGTTTTTTGCTGATTTTGTCAGAGAACCAGACTATGGGGCGGCTGTGGCAGAATGGTTAGGGCAATCATCCTGGAACTGGAAGGTCTTWGGTTCGATCCCCCGTCCAGCTGTCTCAGTTGTTGTGTCCTTAGGCAAGACACTTCACCCGCAATGTCTCTGATGTGTCCCATCAGTATATGAATATGATTGGCACTGATTAGTCTCCATAGTTGATTGTACATATTACCTTTGTAGAGACCTAATAGAGTGCTGTGTGAATGGGTAAATGAGGACACAGATTGTAGTTTGAAGTGTTTTGAGTGTCCTGGATGGATAGAAAGGTGCTATTTAAGTACAGTCCATTCACCATTTATTAGTAGTTTGAATTAATCCCTGTAATTGGCRTGTAGCTGCTGACTGTAGGATTTTTTTGCACCACATCCTCCATTTGTGTTTTTTTCACAATTCGCAGGTACTCTAAAAACGCAACCCCCCTCGAAAATTGTGGGTCTTTACTCTATCTTTAAGCTATAAATCTGCTTGTTGAGCTTGTTTTAGCTGCATTTTTATTGCCACGGTTATCTTATCTTATCTTATCTTATCTTATCTTATC